GCGAAATATTCTCAGTTTATTTCACTGAATCTGCTAAATTTGGCCGAGTGAAGAGTTCACCAACGGTTTTTGTTCTCAACGCCACTGAGAACGCGAAAGTAGAGGTCTGGACTTTTGAAACGGACTATTGTTATCTAGTATTACTTGCATGTACAGATTGGAGTCAACATGCAACAAGCATGATTCACAACTACGCTTATGCTGAACACGATAAACAGGACTATGACAGGGGAATTTTTTTTCGCAAACTGATGTTATTGTTTGCTTTCCCTCAGCTGATTCAGCGTTACCGGCTGGGAAGCATCTTCTGGCGTTATACAATTGTCATGGCCAATGGGCGGAGGTTGAGAAGGCTGTGAGTAACACTTAGCTAGATAGCACTGATCCTACTGGCCTGGCTTTCTTTTAAGACTCAGAATGTGGTAAACAGATATGCAGTACAGTCAAACTATTGTCAAAGGTACTTTGAAGCACATGTATGGCCAGCAGTGACGTTACATATCCGATCTTTTCATTACTATGCCTTTTCTACTGGTTCCGGCCAGTCAAGGAACATCCAGAAAACACATCAAAGATTGTCATAGCCGTATGCCAGCAATTTGTCCCCCCCCCTCTACTCCCAGGGGTATCTACATGTATAATTATTATCTGTGGCCAACAGATTGATGTTGGCGCAGGTGGTCTTAGGTGTGGCCTCGCTTGGCTCTCTGTGAACACAAGGGGAGGAAATAGACTCTCAGGTTGCTATTTTTAAAAGTCCGCCGTAAAGGTTTTTCCTACAGAATATTGTCTGCTACAGACTTCAAAAACAAGAAGCGGTCTGCTACAGTCATTGCAAATCATGGGAGAAAACAGTGTTTTTGCTAGTGGCTACACATATGGTGTGTATTTGGAAATGTAAGAATTTTGATTTTGCTGCTCATATTCTAAAAATAATTAAGCCGCAACGAAAAAGTCCCTTGTTTCGGGTAACCCGACCGACAGATATTTTGATCGCCGACTGTTCTCGCTCCACATATACTGGCACACACAGAGACATAGACAGCAATAGCGACACTACACAGAGTGAAGGGTAGTTGGCCGCAGCCAGATGTGACTGAAGAAGTCAGGAAAAGAAGCGACAATAAAGAGCACACCAGATGCCATATTTGCAACTGAAAATATTTCGCGAGAAATCATTTCTCGCCTATCTCGCTGCGCTCGGCCGGCGAGAAATACAACATTCCTTTGTTTGTATGCATTCATGTATACTGATGTATTTGTTTATGCGCATCATACGCATGTACATGTACGTGCGCTTAGCTCGCAATGTTTCAGGCTCAGTGCTCTTCCTTCCTTCCTGGGTCTGGCTAAACATTTGTGGGCCCGTGTTTCGAGTTAACTCGATCAAATCAGATTCTTTGCAGGGCGGTTGAAGTTGCTAAGTGGAACGTTTTCCACACTGACATGTTCCAGTCTAGAAACGCTAGTGGCCACGATTCTGCCTGCACTTTCTGTCACTGTTGTTGATTGCGGCCGAACTGTCGTCATCAGCTGGATTGCTAGAGTCATGGAAAAGTGTTAGAAACTCTTCGTCGAGAGGGCGTCACTCGCTTCAAGGCCATGTTTGCTCCCCCCACCAAAACCGGGTCAAGCCGCAACGGTGATGACAAGAGCGATAATGTTAGGCTTCATGTGGAGTTCGGACGTCCATTCTTTTTCTTTACGTTGTATACTGTACAGATGTGCATACCAGATCTGGCATGCATAAAATTTATCCGCAAAAAAAAGGAAGCCGACCGACCGACCAGTATTTTTCTGGCCATGTTACCCGAAACAAGAGACTTTTTCGTTGCGCCTTACTTCTAAGTAATATCAACAATGGAGAGCTATGGTATCGGTCTATGTGTTTTGGATTGTTGTTTGCACATGCCAAACCAGTTGGAGATGGATTAATTTCAAGGCAAATTCAGTTGGAACTGGCTTGCACCATTCACTTTGTCGAGGTACCCGGCCACCTCAGAACTCAGCAAGTGGAAGAAGTTCAAGAAGTGATACCGACGCTTCATCTCCGAAACCAACCAGTGAACATGCGTTGGACAAATCTGTGTGTGCTAGCAACGCGGCTGGTGTTCACTGCGGTCCTCAGCTGGTAGCTGCTGCAGCAAACTGTGATGCAACGGCAAATCTGCTCACAGTTGCCAATGTCAACCTACATCAGCAAAATTCATCATCACCAGCTATGCATGTTATGCATGTAGATGCTCCAGTCACTGCCGATCTTCTCTTCTCTCTCTTACATGGACGTGAGCCCTCATCTAACAGTGTTGGTAATGTACAAGCCACGAGTGCCATCGAGGGAATGTGCATGCAGCAGAACTCAATACTGGATGACGACGATGAGTCGACAGACCAGACGATTGAGAGTATTCACTACGACGCGTGGGACTCCTCAATTCTGCAGTTCCTCGACATCAGGGACATATTCCGGCTTTGCAGTGTATCACGGCGTATCCGATCACTGCTTATGACAGAGGGCACGTTCAAGCTGATCTTTGTGGTTAGTGCTTAGTAGTGGCATGAGGAAGAGCTGTGATGCAAAACCCGTTATGTGCCAAATTTTGAGAAAATCTGATTGATAGTGCACCTCAGTGTAATCAAAAAGGTCTAGGGGCACCAGCAGCCAAAAAAATCTGGCTAGAACCATTTTGGAAATGGAAACTAAATTTGGATTTAGAATTTTAGATACAAGCCGCACATGAAATGAATCCTTCTTCGGCCATTATTCGAAGAGTGATGAAATGGATTTATGGGGTTTTGCATTCCAGCTCTTCGAATATGCATACATTTTTTCTCCTGATTCTAAGAATGTTTTCAAAATGCAAGGCTTCCAAAGTGGAAATACAAGTAAAACATTACAGAACATTTAAAATAATCTGATGTGGTTTAGCTGGGAGGCAGAGGCAGGGAATGTACAATGCAACTGTAGTATCCCTGCCTGGCTAGTACGGAACTTTACCTGACTCTTTAAGTATAGCCTATATTTAGTGTATTCTCATCCGTTAGCGTACAGGGTCTGTTGCATAAAAGCCGCTGCGCATTTCTGTTTTCATTAGAATTTATAACACCAACAAAGCCGAGCAGAAGAGCTGTTCAACCTCCAGGTGTGTACCTGAAGTTCGATTAAAAGTTATTTCGTGCACCACGCCTCCACTCGGCTACCTACTACACAACCTCTATTTCTAACGTTTGGTTCGCTCCACCTGCTCGAGCATCCCAGCCGCCATTCCTTATTGCCATGCTGGCGCTGTTCAACTCTAAAGTGCATTCCGCCATGCTATCTGCTTTGATCATAAAGGTAGCTTGCGTCAAAAAGCTCTGGGTGTGTATGTGTGTGTGTGTGTGTGTGTATGTGTGAGTGTGTGTGTTTGTGTGTGTACGTGTGGAGAGTAGCAGCGCTGCTCAAAGGTGTTGCGAGAAAGGTAGAGAGGAGGAGAAAGGTACAGATGAGCTGCATGTGTCAATGTGTGAATGTGCGATATAAAACGAATGAATTGCAGCTGCCCACTCATCGTTCTTCTTTTCTTTCTCTTGCATGCACAGCGTCGCTACCACATCAGCCCATTGTTACCTTTGCCCTACATCGATACCAGCAAAACGCTGTACGTGGCCGCAGCAATGGCTAACCTGGATTTGCGCATTTGCCGGAAGCTGAATTCAATCTACAAGCCGAACATTGCAGATATAATCAAAGAACAGGCAGATATCAGGAGATCTCTAATAGCTTACCTGCCACTGTTATCCCTGGGAACTGGGTTAAAGAAAGTTCCAGGTGCTTTCCTTCCGCCTTTTGAATGTAGGCAGTCGGTGACAATCTATACTGGAAAGAAACTGTTACTTAACACTGTGAGCGTAGAGCACATTGAAGAAAACTACGGAACTCCGGAAAGATCGCGTGTTGCTCAATACGAGGTGCATTTCTACAAAATCAACAAGCTTTGCGAGATGGCATTACGGCGTTGCGGTTCGCTAGAAGTGTACCAGACACATCTGATCAACAAGCTTTCTCAAAACGTTCCAGAATGGACCAAGTACCTACCGTACCACTATCTTTCCTGGAAAGTATCATGAAATAGCTGACATGCTGTCCAGTGCTGGTGAAGAACAGCTAAACTTGCTGAATTGTTTAGGGTTGCACTAACTTATTACGGTGTGCAGCTCGACAACATACTGTAAAAGCCATTATTCTAACAAGGCGCATATAATAACGATTTCCCAAAATCGACTAGTGTTAGGCCCACAAGTTCATGTATGCACGCACTCTCACACCAACCGACCTTTCTCACACATATGCATGTACACACGCACACTCATACACACGGCATGCACCCTTTCCCGCTTCGCACTTCTCGTATTATTCATTTGGCCTGGGTAGCTACATTCGCGCTCTCGTACATCCATTGCCATAGCTACCCAGGCCCTTTATAGCCTTGTGTTTTGCTCGCCTTTCACTCATTCTCAACGCTCAATAGGATAGTACCGTATTATCTCTAATATAAGCACGGTCTTTAAATAACCGACGAGGAGACAACAATCGCAAAATAGCAATGAAAAATATCAATTGTGCACTCATAACCATGTATGAACAATTAAAATGAAACAATTCCAGAACGTTTTCGTGTGACTATCATCAGTGGAACATCGTCACATAGTAAGACTCACTAAAACAACCAGTTATCTAGCTAGAGTAATACGAAAAGAAGCGTGAGAATGCAGCACAGCTAGCGGTTATGCATAGCGCATGTAGTGTGAACCTTTGCAGTGTATCTGAGAATGGTAGCAGTAGATGAATGTGGCAGCGGTGAGTGCGTGTGGACAAAACTGATATGCATAACCGCTAGCTGTGCTGCATTCTCACGCTTCTTTTCATATTACTCTAGCTATATAATTGGTTGGTTTAGTGAGTCTTACTATGTGACGATGTTCCACTGATGATAGTCGCACGAAAACGTTCTGGAATTGTTTTATTTTAATTGTTTATACATGGTTATGAGTGCACAATTGATATTTTTTCATTGCTATAAGCACGGTCCTTTAAATGAGTCACTTGGTATGAACTATAAACAATAATTATTTATATGCTTTGAACGGTGCAAAGTTAGTTAGGCTCCCCATTGTCTTGCAATAGTGTTCTGTAGCGAGTCACAGCCGCAGCAGCCTCGTCGCCACTCTCAACTGGCGTATTAAATTCGTAAAATAAATACTTTAAGTAACGATGTACGTTTTCATCTGTCGTGGTCCAAGGGTAATGGTGGCCGCGTCTTCGCTGTCCCGAGTTAGTGTGCCGTCGTACTCCGACTCAGAATTTGCTTCATCTTGCATTCGATCACCCTGAGTTTTCCATTTGAGGCGCTTCACGGCACTCCTCAGCCGATCGGCTGTAAGATTAGTTTCATCAAGAATCTTTGGCTGCATACTACTGGGAAATGTGCCATTCAGGGCAAGCAGCACAGATGCTGGTGAGCCGGGGTCATCGATTTCGTAGAGGTTCTCGACGCGCAGGATGAACTTCGAGGGCAGCTGTGTTGAGTTGCGCACCTTCAGCGGCAAGAGGTTAATGCTGTCCGGGAAAGGTTGGGTCAGGGCGGAGAACGTGTGCAGGTGAACTGGCTTGGTTTCCTGTATAATATGAATTGGATACTGTAGCTGAAGCGAGAGCTTCTGACGGAGCTTGACGGCCACGTCATCACTCTCAAAGACCATCCAGAGGCGGGGTTGTATCGATACGACTTCATTCAATGCTTCGTTCAGCCCACAGTTGTCATCGCCGACCGTCCGTCTCTGCAGCATTATTTCGAATTGTCCATTTCCATGGCAACCCAGACCGTGCGATCGGTCGCCCATGACAACCAGTCTACTGGCAGTGGCTTTGTCACGAATCTCCGCTGCCTTCACCATTGGGAAGTAGTTGCCGGCTATGTCGTCTTCAACGAAACGGCTGTACGTCCTGTTCACCATCTCGAGTCCGTTGTCGTCCGTGAAGCAAGAATCCGTGGCAATGTCCGTCTTGAAGCGAGTCACAAGCTCTCGGCCCGTGTCGAGCGCTCCGATCTCGTAGACACGCTCCACCTTGTGCAGGTAGTCCGACTCGCCATGGTAGAGGCGAGTTGTTATGGCGTACCGATCTCGATAGGTCTGCCGCACTTCACTGACCAGCGGTCCATTCACGACTTCAGTGGTCGGCGCATTTGCACTCACCGCTGCCTGGATATCTTCGGGCTCGAACGCGTACCAATTCACCGTCACATCGTTGCTGTCCCAGTTGCCTGGAAGCTCGTCTAAGGCGCACACGCTGGCCAGGAAACCGTCCCCGGTCACCACCGCCGTGGAAACGGCAAACGCTCTGGAACCCCTGGCCTGGACGGTGACAATCACGGACGCCTCGAACACGGGAAACTTCTGCATAAAGTCCACGTTGAACTGGGCAACCGTTCCCAGCGGCGGCCCAAGTATGTTGCTCTTTGTGCCCATGCGCTGCGTCGGTGGGAGCTGGGCATCCCTGTCCATGGCAAACCAGTTCACATACACGGTGTCGTCCCAGGGAGCAGGGTTCTGCAGGTAGTCAGCTCGGCACACGTTGAATGACGCGGACGACACGGACGAGGCAGTCACGGTAACGGCGAACGCAGGCGCGAACTTGCTCGTGACGCTGTCCATGGCCGAGTGCACCTCTGTGGAGGCCAATACTAGCGGCGCTTGAGTGAACGTGGACGGGAATTGTACTTCGACCGCGCTGCACCACGTGGAGCTATTATGAACAAGAGCTGTGCCGGACTGCCAATCACCCTTGACTTTTTCCAAGGGACCGGTGTCGTCCAGAACCAGATAGTCAGTGCTAACCTCTTCATGGATGATTGGAGGAGGATTGATAGATTCTGGCGGGTCGACTCGGCACATGACAAAGTTTGTATCGGTTGTGTTGGTCATCAGTGTCGACACGGTGTACACCGAGGCTTGAATCTCGAAGTTGGGAGTGTGCCCTGAGACCAAGACAAGAGGCCATTTCACCTGCGGACTATCCGCGGCAAGCGGCCCATCGAGGAATTTCCACTGGTCCATGGCTATGCGATTGGTGACGTATGTCGTCGGCGAGCGATTGCCCGGCTGTGGTCTGAAGATGTACGCGCCACTTCTCGGCTGATCAAGCTGCACCAGGAATGCCCCGGTATACTGTGCAAACTCTTGATTCAGTGCAACGCTACGACCATTAGCCGACGTCAACGTGGACAGTTCATGAGTGGTGCCGTTGAAGATCAGTTTGTAGTAAGAGTTTGAAATGGTGATGTCGTGTCCCGCCGGCACTTCCTGCCCGTATGTAACCTGTCCTGTGGGTGCACCGCTTGTCTTTCTCAACGTCACCATCCGGTATCCCAGCGCGGGGATCACGCCAGGCTTGAAGTATACGGAATAGGCTGCCGTGCTGTAATCCTTGCTGTACTTGGGAGTCGGAACGATTTGCAGGTCTTCAATGGCTTTTCCCTTCTCCGCCAGTACTTCATAGTGGGTACTGTTGATGGGCAATGCGACTACGGTATCCACCGGCCAAGCCAAGGAGTTGTACAGCGTGAACGTCTCGTCCTCCTCACCTGCCTCGAAGTCTCCCGGCGGTGCTGTTACGTTGCCCCGGATCGCGGCCAGGGCACGCCGTATCAGCTTGTCGCTCTCGTCGCGGCCCTGCTGCAGCTGTATCATGTAGTCGGTGGCGACCGCGTCCCTCTCCGTGCCGCTGACGGCGTCGTGGTGCTGGAGCGTGGCCATGGCTCGGCGCATGACGCCCAGCTGTGCGAGCTCGTCACGTCCCATACTGCCTGGCTGCTGCTTCTCGGCCGTGTAGTAGAGCATCTCGGCGGCGCGCAGTACGGCCGACGTCGACCGCACCAAACCTTTCAGGTAGGCGCGGCTAGTATAATACCCAGTCCAATACTGCATGTGTCCGCTGATGTACGGGAAGAAGTCGCCTTCGTACGTCGGCCAAGTGATGTTCAGCGTGTTCAGGTGGCGGATGTACTCGCCAAACGTGCCGTAGCGTATCGTGGACTTCAGGCTGGAATTGCTGTTGATGTACTCGACGATCTTGTCCATCTGCTGGAAGCTCTTGTAAGCATTTTGATGATCAAAGTCGTCGCCGAACGGCAGAAGTATGTTGTTGTGGCGGAAGAAGGGCCTTCGCAAAGCCGCCTGCTTCGCAACTCCCTCACCTATCCCCACCATGTTCACGCCGTACGTAGGAAGAGTGGGGTCGTTTTGGGGAACGGGCGAAATGCTGTCCACCGTCATCTCCGGAGGCGTCTGGTAGCTCTCTGCAAGGATATGCACAAAGATGTCGCTTTCCGCACCTCGACTTTTCGAGCCGCGCCACACCACCTCTAGGGTTTGAGACTGCTTGCGGTGGTCTTTATCGTTGAAGTTGATTCGGTTCAGACCGAAGGCATCAAAGCCGATATCGGCCCACATGGCGGCTGTGGCCGATGAGTGTCCGAATGGGTCAATGTGCCAGCCAACATTAGGAGAGGCGAAATCTCCAATCTCATCCTTCACGAATAGTGCGCCCTCAGTCATCTGGTCGATGACGTCAGTGTAAAATGTGGTTGCCTCATCGTTCATACACCACCCGGCCAGGTTCAGCTCCAGTAGGCCAGCCTGTATGATGCTGCGCAGTCGCTGGCGTATGGGCTCTGGCCTCTCATTCCACCAGCGATACAAATAGGCCATCTCAACGTACGTATACCGCCTCTCTGTTCCGTAGCACGGACTGTCCGCCATACATTGCACGCCCGTGTCCAGGATCCACTGCACTTCGTTCATGTAGTACTGGTCTACCGTCGACAGCCAGCCCACATCGTCGTGCGTGTGCGGGATCACCCAGATGTTCTGCCAGCCTTCGTCATTCCTCAGCTCAGGCCTGGCCGGGGAGGTGTGCGCTTGATGCGTCCACGGCGCGGACTCCAAGCTGTGAACGAGGCAGGCACACGCCGCCCACAGCACCCAAGCGCAACCGCTCGAGAGCAACATGGTTCAAGGCAGTGCAAGTCAACGGATGGTTTATCTAGATGCAAATAACTACTTGTCGGGATATGGCATTATGGGACAACGACTTCCATTAATATGTACGTCTATAAACGCGCCGATCACTGAAGACTTTGAGACAGGATACCGCGTGGGTCTAACTGTCCTCTCTTCACTTCAGCAATCATTGATGAATGCATCATTGCAAGGAACTCTCCTGCACGCGGAGCTTGACAATATTATTAGGGGCACAGGGCCTCCCTCACCACTGCTCACTGGGCTGCCTCCGTGCTGTGTTCTAGAAACGGCATAGGAGGTCACGTGCATGCACTGAGGCGCGGGGCACATGTGAGGCGCGCGCGGCGCGGACTAGGGGTAAGCGGATCATGCCGGCATAATTTTTGGCATAATCAGGTCCTTTTTGAGATGGAGCATAAAACGGTATCCGAAAACAGGGCCGTAGCAGGCGGTCCGGCAGGTCCGGCAGCTGCCGGACCAATATTCGGCCAAAAAAAAAAAAAAAAAAAAAAAAAAAAAAAAAAAAAAAAAGCAGGAGCTCACACATGTAAGCAGCTCAGGATGTCCACCCATATACCCATGATATGTGCAATAAGTAGAGGTAGTGAGGTATATAAGTAGAGGTAGTACATGGTAATAGCAAGAGGATATACGTTGAACTCTAGTACATGTTCCCTTGCTCTTCCGACAGCCAAACGTCGCTATGGTTTATTTTCTGTCACTTTCCTTGGCTCTGACCGCTGGAATGCCCTCCCAGCGGAGGTCCGCTCAAGTTCTTCCTTGCATACCTTCCGTAATTCTGTTCTTCATTTTTTAGGGTACCCTGTCAAAAGGCCTTAGGCCTGTGGGGATTGCCCTATCAAAAATTTAATAATAAGGCCACACTGAAGAAAGGTCTGTGGTTCGACTCACCCGACCGACCGTACATTTTTCAGCCCGACCGTAACTTTTTTTCGGCGGGCTGTCGTGTGACTGACGTACGTGGACTGAACACGTCCACGTCTACGTGTTGTGCAGCGTGAGTCTGCGGACGCAGGCGGCTCCTTTTGGACTTGACTTGTAGTTGTACTGCAGTGCAGTGCAGTGAGTGGTACGACTGCTGCCTTGTGCTGGTAGTAGAGTCTACTCGATACGACCACCGCCAGACTGGCGAGACTTATTTTGAAGTCACCGTCCGGTTGAGAGTGATTGCCTCGTTCCAGATTAAGGACGGCCTTCTGTTTTGGGATGAAGGACAGACGAGATTGAACTTTCCTCGTGTATTGGGAACGATAGTTCACCTGTACCGGTAAGTTGCTGCTCCATGTGTGCAAGCACAGGAAGCGTCGATGGAAAAAGCCCATGTATTCGTGCACGCCGACACCAAACTAGCAATACATGTACCGGTACATTGTACAATTTGTACTTCGATTGAGTTCGAAGTAGTTCCCGAACTTACTTTCAACTCGCATCGTTCTTCATTTGCTTGATGATTTGGACAGTCAGAGTCACCGCTTGAAGTTATTCTCTTCTCGTTCCAGAGCTACACAATGTTTCAAAGTATTAACCAGTGATCCCTTTATACAACATGTATGGCATAACACTGCGTAATAATGCCGATGTACTGGGTGTCTAAAGGCAGTACAGTGTATTTACATGTACTAAAAATATATATTAAAAAAAAAATCCGCCCGCCCGCCCGTAAAAAAAATGTCCATGATAGTCGAACCACACACCTTCTTTAGTTTGGCCTAATAATAATAATGTCATGTACATGTTGTTGCGAATACCATGTCCATTATAACATAGATCTATGTGGGTGGTGTCCTGTACTTTATGACCTCCTGCCATTCCTCCATTGCAATGTCCTTTCTCCTCCTCCAAGGGACCAAAGGCCCATTTTTGGTTCTTTTATCACATGCGTTTAGATACTGTTGCTATGCCTTCATAGGCTTCAACAAGTTCTGTTTGGACGGACACAACATGCTGATGCCCTTTTTCCTGACTCATGCAGAACATCCTTCTTCCTTTTCTCGCCCTATGATAGGCTATGTCACTCTGCATGGTCACGATTACATGCATGTACATACACGTACAATCATGTACATTTTGTACCTGTACATGTACCGGCATATGTCACGGTAGGACTACTAGGAGTGTGGGCTCGGGGGGGGGGGGGGGGGGCATCGAGGTCGGATCTTGCCGGACCAACCAAAATGGGGCTGCTACGGGCCTGGAAAAACAAGGGCAGATGCCCCATGAGGCTGTTATACACTCCTGCTATTAAAGGCATAATTGAAGGCATGCATTTTGGTATAATCAGGTCCTTTTTGAGAAGGAGCATAAAATGGCCGTGGCACCCAGAAAACAAGGGCAGATGCCCAATGAGAATGAAGTAGTTGAAGACACCACTGCAGCTGTACTTATGGTTGAATTATAATGGTGGAAAAGACACACCTGGCAGTATGGCGGTAAATACACGCCTGCCCACACACGCTCTCTAGGCTGCAAAGTTCTGGAACAGAGCTCTCCTCCTGTGACCACCACCACCATCAGTTCGCGCCTGGCGCCTAGTCGATGCATGGCTTGCGGTATCCGACATAGCAAGCTGGTACATCAGGTAGCGCATGGCACATAGAAGATTACACAGCAACGACATAGCTCGATTGCGACGTACGTTTCGTCCCCGCTGGACTCATCCGGCAATCTTCTTCTTGGGATGTCTTCATACGGAGCTTGACTTGGGAGAATGTAGTTGAAGACACCACTGCAGCTGTACTTATGGTTGAATTATTATGTGGTGAAGACACACCTGGCAATATGGCGGTAAATACACGCCTGGCTACACACGCTCTGTAGGCTAGGGATTGAGTTGAATCTTTTACACAACCTTGTTACATCTGCCTTGAGTTTCTTTTGGATTAGACTATTTCAAATTTTCATTTTGATTTCATCGTCGAGTTTCATCCCTTGTGTCTTTGGTGTTCTTCCTTCTTTCGCTCTAGGCTGCAAAGTTCTGGCACAGAGTGGGCAGGCGTGTATTTACCGATAATGCCAGGTGTGTCTTTACCACCATATAATTCAACCATAAGTACATCAAATGTTCAGTATCTGCTGCGCGGTAATTTGGTCTGGCGTATGCCCACCTGGTTATTTCGGAGGAGCATTGGCAGAAGGTCCAGAGTATAGACTTCTAGCCAAGTGGCATTTCGGCTCGTGAATGGCGCTTTAAATCAGACCGCATCACCCAACAGAACTGAGTTTGTCGCGCACTCCACTTGCACCACCATTCTTTCCTGCTTCTGGACAACACACTACTAAAGCTCCCAATCAACTTGCCCACTTATCTTCATCCTTCTCAGTATTAACTGCCGCTCTATAGTGAATAAGCTAGCTGAGCTTAGTCAGGTGTGTCACCAGTATTCTCCAGACTCAATCTGCCTATGTGAAACGTGGCTGACAGCTGCCATAGATATCTCAATTCCAGGCTACACGTCATACCGTCTGGACCGCCCACCTACGACCCGCTCTGATAATCTGCCAGTAAGAGGCCATGGTGGTGTTGCTACACTAAGTCTTGTAGCTGACAGGTCGTTCATCTCCATCAAGCGCCGCTTCGACCTTGAGCGCTGTGGACTGGAAGTGGTTTGGCTCGAATTGCGGCCAGTGGCCCTTCCCTCACTCCCCCCCCCCCCCTCGTCATCTGCTCTGCTCTGCTTACAGTCCCCCTGGAGACAGCATCTCCCAAGTCCAGGCATTTAGTGACCTCCTAGAGGACTGTCTGTCCAGTATCAGCCTCCCCAATTCTGCGCTTGTGCCCGCCGGAGACTTGAATGCTCGCCACTTCGACTGGTCTGCTAGTGACACCACGAATTGTGCTGGAAGAGAGTTCTACAACCTCTTCTCTTGTTTTAGCCTTGAGCGAATGGTGACATTCCCCACGCACTCCCCCCCCCCCCCCACGACTCATCATCGTGTATTGCCGTTGTACTCACGGATCATCCTCACCTGCTACTCTCTGTCACATCTGTTGCTCCTCTTGGTGCATCTGACCACGCACAGATCCTCAGTCACTTTCTACTGCCTACTGATGCAAACGGACATCCCGCTGCTGCACCCCAATGCAACTTCAGGGATGTTCCTGCAAAGCCGCACTATGACTATAAATCCGTGCCATCTTCCATCCAGGATAGGGTGAATGCAGAGCTCGCTGATATTGACTGGAGCTGGCACCTGCGTGCTAGCAATGTCAATGATGCGCTTTCGCACTTTTCCTCCCTTCTCAACAGTGCCCTTGAGAGGCACCTCTGGCCATTCAGCAAGCAGCCATATTCTCACCGCTGCCCACGACCCAGTCAGCCACCCTGGGCTGATGCCCATCTCCGCACAGCAATCAAGTGGAAATATGATCTCTATAGCATTTTTAAGAAGTACCCAACAGAACGAAGCAAACAAGCAAACCAACAGCAGCGAAATCTAGTGAAAACCCTGACGCGGACAAAGCACAGAGTTTATATCGGTTCAGTGCAAACTACTTTGCAGGGTAGACACCGTCCATCGCTTCACCAGTTTGTGAGACAAGCAAGAATTCGAAATACACCACGGGAGATTCCGTCGCTCACCACAGGGACTCAGCAGGCGACTGACCCTTTGGCCAAAGCTACGGCATTATTATGCCCAGTATAATGCCCAGTTTGCCTCTGTGACTCGGCCAGGTGACCCGTTGCTCTCTACTCCCCCTATTCTCACCCCCTCAGAGCCATCGGCTTATTTCATGTCCGTCATCACCACAACTGCCACTGTCCGGCGTCATCTGAAGAAGCTTCCGACGTGCAAGGCATCTGGTCCCGACGGCATCCCCAACCGGGTCCTCAAGGCCCTAGCACCATCCCTTTGTGCCATATTTTCAACATGTCATTTACCACGGGCATATTTCCTTCCGAATGGAAGACAGAGAAGGTCATACCTGTTTTCAAGAAAGATTCCCGCCACGAACCTGCAAACTATCGCCCTATCTCTCTTCTTCCCTGCCTGTCCAAAGTATGTGAACGCATCTTCTATGATCACTTATACAGACATGTTTCGCCGTTCCTGAGTCCCGCACAATCTGGGTTTCGTAAAGGCGACTCCACCTCCCTTTAATTGACGCCCATCGTGCAGCAGATATGCCAGCATAGGGATAACAGAGCCCTTGCTGGTATTTGCTTCTTTGACTTGGCCAAGGCATTTGATACCGTCTGGCATCGAGGACTTTTGGCAAA